TGGTGTATATTTTATAACATTTTTTTTACATTTAACAACACTCAAATTTCTAAGATTCTAGTTTGTATTTTCGTGGTTTCTGAGCTTGCCTTGGTATTATTGCTGCGACCATTTTGTGGGACAACGAGTTCGATGTCTAAAACGAATTAATTAATTTGATTTCCAAATTCTTTATTTTGGAATATTCTAGAATAGTTTCATTTGAAATATTTCCCCCAGTATGGACAGAGAGGTCTTAATTTAATTTGAAAAACTGTAAAAAATATTAATCTAATAAAATCACTGGCTACCTTTGAATATCTTGCATTTCCAAATCTGCTAATCCAGATCGAAATTTGGTATTATTTCATAAGTTTTGCATATTACATTTCTAAATTTTATACATTGAATTGCCACGTAAATGTAAGTATATTGTGGCAGCTTCACAACATTTTCTGAAACTTATTTTTAATTTTTAATATATATGGCATAACTCATATTGTAAGTATTGTTATGTCATTTTAACCATTGCCTAACTTCATAGGCACACCAAGATAATAATATATATTTCAACCACCGAATAATGTGTATATACCGCTAATACGGTTTTGTCTAAAACACAATCAATTCTAAAATATATATGTAATGGCTTCTATTGTAAGCTTTCGTTATGACATTGTGACCATAGTGTTACGTCATAGACATCAAGTTATAATGGCTTATTCAAGTAGCTAATAATGTGAAAATTACATAATATTTTCCAAAACCCATTATATTTCGAAATTAAGTTTCATTTAAAATTCAAAAATGATGTTGTAAACATATTTATACAAAAAATATTACTTCATATAAAAAAGCCTATTCCAGTTTTCTCAGCAAATTTTACTGGTTTAATGGTTTAACTTAGTTATTTCGCCACTTGAAAAAAATAGAACAAGTGAACACTCTACCCAAATAGGAAACGCGAGTCTGTGGAAAGTGTTTGTGTGTTACTTGCCATTATTTGTTCGCTTATCGTGCTTTCAAAAAGAACAAAAAATTTACCCGAGTTTAACAGTATTTACCACTTTATTTGTAAGTTTGTCATGTTAGGAAAAAACGAAAATTGTACATGCTTTTAACAGTAAAGTTAATAGATTTAAAACGCTCGTCTCTTTGTGGCTCATGTGGAAATTTTGCTCATGAACGTCCTACTCTTTGAGGAATGTTTAATGTCTCGATAACTTGGTTATTTTAGTTAAATTTTTGAATATTTCCTATTTTTTTCGAGCGTGAAGGGTCGTCTCATATTTTGCTTATCGTTAAGTTCTTGTGTACACAGGAGTTCGGGGAGGTTGGATGCGATTGTGTTGTCATAATGATAAGAAGTTGATAATATTATTTCATCATAGAAAAGCTATTGAATTGCGCGGGAGACCGTTTTAAAGAGAAAACGAGATGCCGTATCCCAACACGTTTCACGTAAATCCCTCAGGACAATACCTCCCACATTCTTACCGCGATATGCACTGAGATTATAAGTTTTGGATTTATCCCCTTTGTTATACCAACATTTGGAAGAATGTTTTATAATTCGAACGCAATGTCCGGCTTTGTTTTATGAATTTTAGTAAATTCATTTTTCGTGCCATTACGAGCTGTTTTGTGATTTACTTACATATGTTATATAAGGTTTTTCTCGGGGGCTCCCGAAGTATGCGAACCAAGATGGCGGACATCGGAATGTAATATGTGTACTAGGTTAGGGTTAGGCCATAATTTTAGGTATAAATACTACGGGAGGCTTTTGGCTAGTCTTCGAACTGATAATAGGACTAAAATAAGAAAAATTGGAAAGAAATTATCGCCTAACCCTAACCTGTTACTCATGTTACGTTCCGATGTCCGCCATCTTGGTTCGCATACTTCGGGAGCACCTTTTCTCGCATTTACTCGTATTAAGTCTCTGTGTAGCAGCCATCCACAATGTTTGAGCGAACCGGATTTTCCCAGTTTTGCATTCGTGTCTATATTTGCATTTGGTTGTGATATACATGATGTCCACCTTGAATTTTTTTTTAATTTGCAAAGGGAATTCAATGATGATATCTAACACAGTATACTGGATCGCCTCTTCCAAGTTTTTGTGTTACCGACATAAAACAAATCATCTTTACACCTAATTAGGTCATTTACTCTTACTAATTATCGCGCGCACTTAAATTCTATGAATCGCGTGTATTATTGTTCCAAGGTGCTTAATTATTAGTTCACAATTCCCATAGTTAGCGTAGAGGCATCGAAAGGTCAGAATTATGATTGTGGGCAATTAGTACCACATTGACGTATTTGTGGACTAACTTAAACACAAAATATTTTTCGGGTTTGTGTGGCGAGTTGGCTATCCTTCATTACACTTTTTTGTGCTGCTGCTGAATGCGTATTGGTAACTGTGCAACAGGCGGCCCGCGGGCCACAACCCGGCCAGCCAATCAATTCAGTGTGGCCCTTGTCGACACTCAGATTTTTTCCCATTGAGAATTAAATCCCAACCCGATGGTTGTTTACAAAAAATGCCCATTAATTGATCGACTTACTACCTTATATTGACAACTAATTAGCTTATACGATTTAAGTCCTGAAAGAATTGCATATATCCAAAATGAAATTGCAATAAAACCTACATTTGATGGCATTTAGACCTAATGAGGGTATAGGTAATTCCATGTAACAATTTATTGTCTATGTGTTTTATTCCGCTTAGTATAAGTAACATAGGAATTGCCTATATCGGCAACGGCTAAAAATAATCGCCCAGATTCACGCCTAATTAGCTAATTCGAAGCAACCAACATTAACCGCCCACTCTGCGGGACAGAAACGATTTGTTCTGGCTTAAAAAAGATTAGCCCGTGTCGGTAATCTCTGCAGGTGCGTGTAATCAGTGTTAACAACAACGACACTTTGGGGTTGAGACCAGGCAGGAATGGGCAAAATCGAATGTTTTTTCGAATCGACTAATTCGAATATTTTTTAACGAATACCGAATAGTGGAATAACGAATATTTTTTAAATTCTAGAACGTCGGAAGTTAATAGAAACGTTGAAAAGTCGGTAAATGGCGTTTTTTAGTGGTTAATTCCATCATATTCGCTGATTGTTTTTTGTCATCGTGATCGTTTCGGTGGCGACATCTCTGCAGGTGTTTATAATCAGTGATAACAACAACACTTTGGGGTCGCGACCAGAGGTGGATTCTCGTTTATCTGCAATTTGTTTCGGGGTCGTGCAACCAACTTCCTATCCTTCGTTACACAATATTTGCCAGCTTTACGCTTCAAATCATTTTTTTTGCGCATAAGTACTGCTTCCATTCAAATTTAGAGTCCAAATATTTCCCTAAACAATTTGTTTGTTCAAGAAAACGGTATTTCTTCAATCTTGGAACTCGAGAGGGAATGTTTTAAAAGTTGGTTCTAAATTTCTGTTGTGTCTTGAAAATTGTTTCGTCGGGGCTCCCGAAGTATGCGAACCAAGATGGCGGACATCGGAATGTAATATGTGTACTAGGTTAGGGTTAGGCCATAATTTTAGGTATAAATACTACGGGAGGCTCTTGGCTAGTCTTCGAACTGATAATAGGACTAAAATGAGGAAAATTGGAAAAAAAATATCGCCTATCCCTAACCTGTTACCCATGTTACGTTCCGATGTCCGCCATCTTGGTTCGCATACTTCGGGAGCACCGTTTCGTCAATGCGAGCATCATGCTTGTGATAACTCGGGGGCGTTTCTTCGCTTCTTGCCAATTTTTGCATGTTATACTACGAATAGGCCTGGATTGAAGAAGCCTCTCGCCATATGAACATTCCTAATTTCTTCTGCCAGTGTATTCGGCGAATTGTTTTCAAATATTTTCACAAAATTCACACTAAAGTTAACCCTCAGCTTTCTTCTCGTGAAAATCCCAATTTCTACAATAACTATGATATTTAGTATCGAATTCGTTGACGTAACGTACCAACACTTATTTTAACACATTACGTGCTTTGAAAAGTAGCAAAACCCGAATTTTGTGGTGTTTCACAGTCAGTAGAGGGTTAAAATTACCGAAGTTTGTCCAAGTAACGTATCTATACTTGTTTTATCACTTCACATATTATTTAAAAAGTATAGAATCCCGTTTTCTGGTGTTTCGAATCGCGGAAGGTAGGGGGTTAAAATTACCGAAATTTGTCAAGCTATTCTTTAACATTTCTGAAACCACTGATGCGTTGATAATAAGTTTTCACCACGAGTATTATCTGATTCGTTATGGGTTAAATTAACCCTTTACCATACACGGGGAAAGTAGTTTTACAATTCCTTATCACATGGGCATGTAAGATTGTTGCGAAAATAAAAAAACGCTGGGGGTCTTACTGTCTTCCTGTGTAGGAAATGTCCCGTGAAATATCTGAGACCCGTGAAATAACTGATGGTTAGTGTAAACCTCATTCGTTTTGTAGTAACTTGAAACCCGTGTTTATCGTTATGCTGGTTAAAAATGTCTTCAGAATTTATTCAACAGAAAAATTAATTTGAAATTTGACGTTTCTTTGAAATTCAGACCTGTGCATTTAATTGAAACACTCAGGACGGCCATATGTAAATACTTTGGTATTCTAGAATTCGTATCTTGTGATTAATTTCGATTCTGTGTATTCCATGTATGGACATGTTTTACAATACATTCACTTATGTAGGATTTGAAGTCCTTGAACCTTGAGTTTCGAGCCAATTTTTGTATTAAGTCTGACTGTGAGTTTTTTGAATTCATGATCTAACATAGATGACTCGACTTCGAGTATTTTACGAACGGTGATTTGAGTTCATGATCCCCCCCCCCACACACACACACACACACACACACACGCATCAATCTAAACGGCGATACGTATTCCATAAACATTTCTTCTAATATTGATCAAGCAGGTCGATTAAATTTCAATTTTCAAATTTTTTTTTTTTTCAATTTTATTTAAATTTTCGTTCTTTTTCAGAGCAAATCGGACAGCCATGGCGAATCAAGCAACAAAAGCCGACTCGAAAGAGGTGATTATTTTTAATTTTTTGTGAAAATACTTCGCAAGTATTTTTATTACGTTTTTTTCAACTTCTACTTCGAGACAGTCTCTGTTTAAGCAACCAGCTATATACTTCGGAATGACCATTAATTTTTGCGAACCAAAAGTTTGAAATCTACACGTTGATTAGTTGAGAAAAAAGGTTTTTTTTTTCAGCAACTCAACCAATTCATCCATACACTTATGTATCCAATAATAAAAATTAATCTCCTTTTTTAAATTTAAAATCAATACACATACTACTATACTCATATATGCACCAAAATTCTAATGCCCCAATGCATAAAAATATATACACATTTCCCTGTGTATCTGAGTTTTCAATAATAACGTTTATTAAATAAGAAATTGTGAGATTTGCACTATTATGTATGTCCGATACGTTACAATTATCCATCCATCTCTTTCAGACGATCCAAGAGACGAAGCAAAGGGACCGGGAAGGCCGTACCCATACCCACACGACATCAGTTCAATAGTTTCAGGTCTCCCACCATCATTTTTTCAAAATGGAGGACTCCCCCCAAACGTGAGTAAAAATATTCAATTTATTTGATTGCAATTTGAGGAAATTTTTTGCTAAATAAAGTAAATATTTGCTATGATTAGAACAACTTGAAATAATGACAGCATAGACTTTCCAAATGTTAAGTGTTGTAGTTGACATTCTTAGACAGTTTTGCAAATATTTTGTGCGGGATTATTTTTGCTACAAATGTAACTTGAGGTGTTGACAACATGGGAAAGTTAAATTTTTGTAATGTTAGGTATTGTTATGGTCAGCCTAAGGTTTATTAAGCAACCTGTAGCTTGAGAGGTACAAAATGAATTTTACCGGTATCTTAGACACACAGGATTATGCAGATTTAAAATTTGGCATTTTAGGCTTCAGCGTTGGATGGCTGTATAAAATGATCAAAACACTCTTAATAATAAATAGTGAAACTTTTTCTGTTGGCCATTACCATTTTATCACATATTCCATATTCAAAATATTATTTCAATATGTATTCAAGGTAGTAAGTTATTCGGTTTTATTCAACGTAACTGTTATTTGAACCGCATATCGCCACACACGTTTAGTCATTTTTAGAGTCTTTAGAACAGCATTTCTCAACAGGGAGGTATTTCTGGATTTTTTTGTTTTCTAGAAGCAAATTTTATTTTAAATTTTTGTGTTTTACTAAAATTTTCAAACTGTACGTAAGACACAATGCTGCTTGCTCGCCATCATAAGCAAATCCGTTAAAGATTGAATACCGAATGAAATCTCAATTTTGAAGTGTAGTGGGTTGAGAATAGAGAGTTAAAAATAAGCGAAGGATGTAAGTATCAAAAGATTGGCAATCTTGTGTATTACACATTTAGAAACACGTATTACCACACACATACATTTGTGAAGTCAATTTTAGCATCTTGAGATATTTAGAAAGACACTTGTCTTCACCGTATCGCGAAATTCAATGTTCTGTTTACTGTATCATATGTCACGGTACCGGACGTCGGGCAAGGATTACCAAACTACCATGTCTATGTTTAATGTCTGTCATATCAGATAATATCATGTTGCAGAACTTGGGATGGATGCCAGATATTAGGTTTTATGTAGTTGGTTATGTTGTTTGAGTACTATTAAAAATGTTTGGTAATTCGAACGGAATATGCAAGTTACCAGGTTTGTTGTTTTTTAATAAGTAATTGTTCAAGTATTTTTACTTCATTTAATACATCTGTGAGGGCCAAAACAAGGTATGATATTGATAAATTTCCCTTTGGAATTTTGAAAAATTTCGTTATTTTTCGTCACTCCCCCCCCCCCCTTCACGCTACAACCAATATTCACCACTTTAAATGTTGTAACCTTTTAACATTAAATGATGTTAAGTCGTTTCTTGGGTTCCGTTTCTATTTTTCTCACGTGCGCCAACGCTAACACCTGTTAGCAGGATCTCGCGCCAAAGGTGAAGGAATCTTATCTCCCGTTAAGGACTGAGGTCAAGTGCGATTTTAATTATCCAAATACAAGCACGTTTTCGACGTCTCATGGTCAATTGTTTTAGTTGGCGTATGTTATTGAAAAGTTTTGACTCTAGCCCGGCGAGAGGTCCCATTACCGTGTTCGGATTTTAAATTTTCAGTGATCATACTCGTTAGGGTGCTGGACGATGTATGTGGTGCGCATTGTGTTTCCCAGCATTTTATTTTAGGGGGGTGTTTCCAAATTCAGGGGGTGGTGAATATTTTGTTATCAGTGATAAAACTATTTGTAAATTATAAAAATGTGTTTTGTATTTGACTGATCATCTTCACCGGAATATGAGCCACTTTCTGAATATTGAAAAACATTTTAAATTAACATTAAAAATTAGATTATGGTTTCATATCTGAAAATTACGGGGTGTTTCAAATTTAAGGGGGGTCTAGGGCGGCTACGACTTGACATTTTTGCCGTGGGTCGTCAGTTGCTACTTCTCATGCGATTTTTTGTGTGTATCGGTCGGTTTGGACGGAATTTAGTACCGCAGACATCACGACGAAATTTGAATCTTTGCCACTTTTGTTTCTCAATGTTCACGAGTTGTGCAGTCGTTTGTGGGTTTCAATTGGCAAATACCCAAAGGAAACCAGTGTTCCTGTTTACAGCTACACTTGGCATGAAATTGATACAATATGGTGTTACATGCTTTGGGTGGGTCGGTTTTAGATAGGAATGTGTAACCTGTGAGTCTTGAGTAGATTTTATCGAAGCGGAAGATTTTGGATATTTTTAAATCAGTGATTCCCAAAGTTGATTGGCCGCGGGCCAATATTAGAAGCGGAAAGATATTCGCGAGCCGGGAGAGCGGAGCGCGCGCAAGGGGCCAATAACTGTACCGGTATAATTAAAGTGTTACATGCTTTGGGTGGGTCGGTTTTAGATAGGAATGTGTAACCTGTGAGTCTTGAGTAGATTTTATCGAAGCGGAAGATTTTGGATATTTTTAAATCAGTGATTCCCAAAGTTGATTGGCCGCGGGCCAATATTAGAAGCGGAAAGATATTCGCGAGCCGGGAGAGCGGAGCGCGCGCAAGGGGCCAATAACTGTACCGGTATAATTAAAGTGTTACGAATATACTTAAACCGTCATAATGAGGTAACAATTGACGGTATCTAAAACGCAATAAAGGTAAAAATATAAAATGTTAAACAATTTCATTCAAGTTCATCGGGCCATATTGAATCGCTGCGCGGGCAGTAATTGGCCCGCGCGGCCGCGGTTTGGGAACCATTGCTTTAGAACGATACAATCTCTTTACTTACTAGTGGCTATCTTATAGTCATATAAAACGTCGTTTGAAAAATTACATCCAAAGCCAGATCTAGTAGTTCTTTGTCAAATCATTATTATCCTATCAATCTGTCTTGTGTATAATCCTGTATAAATATCGCTGTGGAAGGGAGGCGAAAGTGATCGAGCGCTCTGGTTTTTATCAAAAACTAACTCCGATATCAGCAAGTATAATTTGTTTTGGATTAATAAACCAGGGGCGTGTCGCCTCGTTGAAGCGACGGGTCAGATAACGAGTGTTATAGAATCTATTGTAAACATTGATTCTAGTATTAGAAATGAGATAAAGTCTAAAAAGTAGTAGAGGATACACGACGATATAGCTTTTGCCAACTTTTTTAATGTAGGTACTAAGTATAAGGTCAAACTGCGTCAGGGGCAATGAATAGAAAATGAAAGCAACTCAATTTAATGCAATTTAAGAGTCATGCTGCACACTCAACACAAATTTAATCCTGTAAGATTTAGTCTGACCAAAATCAGACTTCCTCAGACAGCAGTTTACAGCAATGACAAGTAATGAACAATCATGCGGTTTAAATATAGCGATAAATAAATTTGTTTGAAATGAGCAAAAATGTGAAGCAAAGTTACGTACGAACAAGCGCTAAAATGCCGACGAGTATAGAAACTTGCGCTATAGTTTTGGTTTCCGCAAGACTAACTATATATCCTTCTTATATTCTTTTGTGTCGGTGGATCTGTATGCATATACTGCAAGGATGCTGTAGCAAGAGTAAAGATAACTATCTTAAATGAGAAATATGCATGCACCTGCTTTTCTTGTTATAGCTGAACTATGTATGTCTGAGGAAGTCTGATTTTGGCCAGACGAAACGTTGCAGATATATATTTGTGTTTGTGTGCAGCATGACTCTTGAATCACTTGCGACTATAGAAACCATGTTGAATTATGGCGGTGCTTTTCGCACCCACAAATATCACCATCATAATCACACACTGTATTGAAAACTAGAATGCCAGAGCTACTAAAACTATAGATTTTCATGGTTGTGTATTATGCGTAATAAACGTCAATTGCTTTGGCCAATCTTGATGCCACGTTACCGGTAGAAACATTCGATTCTTATCTCGTTAGTAGCTTGTCTGGAATTTGTTAAATTTTGTCGAGCTTGTCTCCTTAAACTGAAGATTTAAGGACCGACAATAACGGGATTCAAAATTTTGAAAACAGATTTTCTTTTGTATCGAACTCACTAACTAGAGTTCTTTCATTCCAGATAACCATGCCGAACAAGTAAACTTTAACAAAGTAACAAATCTGGTTTGTGGTAATCACGACCTTCCAAGAACGGGCTCGCTGATGTGCGTGATATTCAAGAACGGGTTCGAGGCTATTCACATAACTCAAGAACAGGTTCAGTGATAGTCACGGTATTCCAAGAACAGGTTCGCGAGTATTCGCGTCATTCAAGAACGGGTTCGGTGATAGTAGCGATATTTCGAGAACAGATTCGGTGATGAATGCGATATTCGAAGCGCGAGTTTGCGCTAACGCGCCTAATTTCATAACTGTAGTTGCGTGGTTTTAAGACTGTTATACACTTGTTTTTAGCCATCTTTTGTTTTGCCTTTTTTGTTTTTGTTTTTAAGGTCGAAAAATTTGAATTAACCCCCTGAATGCCATGCCTGAATATGCGTTGTTTTAAATTTGTTACACACTTGTTTTTCATCATTTCTTCCTTTTTTTTTCTGTTTTTGAGGTGAAAAAATTGAAATGAGTGAACGATCATTATCTCTGTTATCTGGGTTTTGTATCGCTCATCATTAGCAAACATAAATAGCAAACTGTCATGGATTGAAATGACTTTTCTTAACGATATTTCGTGGCTTGGAAAATATGGGAGGGAGTATTTTATGGCGATACAAATATTTTTACGTGTCGGGGCCAGTGGCAGGGGCGTAGACGAAGGTTTGGGGGTTACCCCTCCCCCTATTAAAATGTAAAAAAAAGAATTTTTCGGTATCATATATAGCCCTCAATACTCCTGAAAATCCACGTTTCCGCCTGGCTAGCTATTACGGTCGTACTTGGCAATTATAAATTTCAGTCTCATCTCTGAACGAGGTTAGATGAGACCACCGCAATGCCAACATCTTCACCTCAATTTACAAATTGCGTGCTTGGTCGTATTTTAAATATGTATTGGTTTCACTTATCTTATCTTGATTGCTATTA